GAATACGGCCTAACCTACGACGACGATGGCTTCGTGGATATTCTCCGGTCAACTTTCTTCGACATTAATACGAGGGTCAATCACACCGTCGAAGACTACATCGGGCGTATTCTGGATACCTTGGTGGAGGCAATTGACGAGTACTTTAAAGACGTTGAGTGGAGGATCTCCACTGCTCCTTGACTAGAGGTTCTCTTTTCCCCTTTCAATACATTTCTTGAATCTAATCTTCTCTTGTAGTCACAAAGGACGACTCCTACTGCTCATGCTAAGCTTAGCAAACGTAGGGTTTTGAGTGCACCTCTGTGTTGATTAATTCTCGTTGTTAGATTATGGATTGTATTGAAACTACTATTTTAGCATAAAGTAATTTACTAATTTACTTTGAAAGTTTTCCAACTCTCTGGTTATGCGATTTAGCCTAAGCGGGCATGACCCCTTATTCGTTTTATTTCGTTGTTTTGAGCTGCTATTAGTTCTTCATTTTATTGTAATCAAGAGTTGTGCAAATTCCTAATGAATTGATTGCATTCATACGTAGTCCTGCATCAATACTCTTTTAATAACAACTCAAAAGCATCACAAAAAATCTCAAACACTTTATTGAAAGCAGACAACTTATGCACAAGTTTATTTAGAAGGTAATCATAGAACTCAATAAAAATATGATCAACAAATTTAGCCCGTTTAAACTCTCTTCCTCGGATATTTCATAATTGGAGCCATAATAATAATAAACTTTTTAATGAATTATCAATGAAAAAAAGTCAACTCATGAAAACTCTAAATATTGTGTCTATTAGTATGTTTTGAACTTATTAGAAGCAACAGATGATCAATCCCTAGACAACCACAGAAAGATCTTAAATAGGTCACAAAGCAATAGCTCTTTAAATTTAGGTGAACATTTTCAATTTCTTCAACATCAACCACTTTCCTAAGATGCACGCAACAATCAACTATTCTCATGCAATAAATTAAATGGTACTCAAAACTCCCTCAAATACAAGCATGGTCACCCATTGACTTGGTGTTTAAGTGAAATGTAATTAAATAGCATTCAAAACTCCCTTCAAATCCCTTTGATCAGGCCCTCCAAGAATAAAAATTAAGATTTACAGCCAATAAAAACAACCCCCTAGCTATTCTAATTATAGCTTGATTGAAAACCCTAGCTTTTCCATTCATTAATCTTTGTTTCTTTGCCTATAAAAGCATGTAATGTATTCTATTTTCAGATTAGTGAATAAATTATTGAGTTTTGTGTGAGAAATCCCTTGGAAAAGCTTGGCAGCTAATATAAACCATCGGGCATGGGAATTCAAGTTTTATCGTACTGTGATTTATTTTCTCTCCAACCTGCCTCTCAATTTCTAACCTTAACCCTAGCATAGTCATCACCCTCAACCTCTCCATAACCCTAAAAACATCCTCTCCCATCTCTACTAATTATGAACTACTCTCCATCAACCCTAAATAAAACCCCTCTCGAGTTCAGTCCTCCCACAATACTGTACAACAACACAAGGCCCTCCATAAGTCTCCAACCTTCTTCCAAGACCTCATAAATCATAATACCACCATCCACCCTCTCAGCCAACCACAAAACTCCACACAATAATTTCACTATCGGACTAACACTAGGCCTACCCTCTATCCCATCATAAAACTAACTCTAAACTTCTCCAAACCACTCCAAGGCTCTTCACACATCACCACAAGCTACCATCAAGCCAAGTATGTTCCTTCTCCCAAAAGATCATCCCATAACCAACCATCATATTATTTATCATAGATAAGGCTCCATGGGTACCATCAAACTAGCATCCAAGTAGAGGAATCAGAAGAGGAGCAACTGCTGGTTCAATCAAGACATCTTCAGCAAGCATCAACAATTGGTGATTGGATCTCCACTTGTGGTAATCTCTGCAATCCTTCATATTAAATGCATTTGCTTTGGTAGATTCATTTTTGAAAAAAAATTGGATTTTGGCAATTATGTGAATTATTTGCATAACTTCCGAGTAGTTTAACACCAATTACCGGCCAATGATCCAAGTACAAAGCCTATCCCAACCATTGACACTACAGAGTCACATGTTAGTGAATGTGTGATCCACTAAAAAAAAAAATCTAATTGTTGATCAAGTTTTAAAACGTATAACCTAAATTTAAGTTTTCTTATAATTGCTTTTGAAGTTTATACATGTTTAATAATATTTATGAAAAATTAATTGTCTAAATGGTGTTTCAAGAACCCAAAATGAAAAATTAGTTGTCTAACTAGTGCTTCAAGCACCATTAATATTGATTGGTTGTTTTTCATTTTTTGAGTCTTCAAGCAGCAGTTACAATCACAGATTTGAGGGAGTCTTCAAGCACTCGACTTAAGGTTTTCTAAAACAACTAAAATGATATCTACTAAGAATGCATACAAAGGAATTTGAGGATTTACAATTCACGAAACACCAATAAGAAAACTACTTATTTTCTTTAAATGTAAATAGATAATACTTAAATTAAAACTCTACTAAAAATGAAATGATCGGAAATGCTCCATGAAATTATGCAAAGATTTGAGTCACATAAAATCAATGAGCAATTAAAAATTAATTTCAACCAATTGAATTTTAGTTTATCAACATGGAGAACATTAATTTAATTGCAGATAAAAAAACAAAACAAGGATAAGTAGGAAAATACGAAAAAAAAAAAAATCAGAGCTCATGTCGACATAAAGTGATGATTCGCCCAAAATTAGGTAGGCCCATTATATCGCACTCAAATTTGTCAAACAACCCACTTAACTCACAAGACTAATATTGGAAATGAGAATTTTATCTCGGTAAAGTTTAATCAACTACATACCTCATAACATAATTTATAAACACCTCATCCCCTAGGGTAGTAGAGATAGTTGGCACATGATCAACTCAATTAATATTTAAATTATGCCCAAAAGATTAAATTAATTCCAATGAGTTAAAACTCACCAAATTGCATCCTCAATAACCGGCAACAACAAGCCCATAGGAGTTATCGAGTGTTGTAAGAACAATGCTGCAACTTCCACAACCCAAAAACATAATCAAGATCGCAGGTCAAAAAACTATTTGTGCCTTCAACATCAATTGTCAAAACAAGAGAAAGGGTTAGCCCACCCACAATAAGAACGTCCAAAAATCCAAATTCTGTCACTCAAAAATGAAGAAATAGCTCCAATTTTCCACTTCCAAAGGAAAAACCCAATTGCCATACGAGACTCCCAAGTTTCACGAATAGATGAATGGCACAACCACAACCAACACTTCCCATAATATGCATTCCCAATAGTAACTTATTTCACCAAATTATAATAAACCTCTATGAAAATTAGACCCAAATTGAATCAAGATTGAAAACAAGTCAAATCACAAGAATTAACCTTAAGGTAGCAAATGAATAGACCCCTCTCTAGATTGTCATCATTAGAATGCTTTTAACTGTGAAAACTGAAAATAACAAATAAAATTAATCTATTGTTTAAAAAAATAAAAAAAGTTTGTTCTTCTTGTTGATAAGACTAGAGAGGGAGTTGAAAGTAAACTTGAATTATGGAGGTCAACATTAGAGACTAAAGGTTTTCGCTTCAGTAGATCTAAAATGGAATATATGGAGTGTAATTTTAGTAGTAATAGACCTAGTGAGGGGATTGCGACTTTGGGTGATCGAGTCATTAATAAGAGTACACATTTTAGATATCTTGGATCTATTGTTCAGAGTGATGGAGAAATAGATGGGGATATTATCAGCAGAATTCAAGTTGGATGGTTGAAGTTGAGGAATGCATCGGGCTTGTTGTGTGATAGAAAAGTACCCCTCAAACTTAATGGAAAATTCTATAAGATGATAGTGAGGCCTGCAATGCTTTATGGTGTTGAATGTTGGCCATTAAAAGAGAAGCATAATACTAAGTTAAGTGTGGCAGAGATGAGGATGCTCAAGTGGATGAGTGGCTTTACCCTTGGAGATTTGATACGAAATGAGCATATACGTGAAAAGGTTGGAGTAACTCCAGTAGAAGATAAGATTAGAGAGAGTCACCTTAGATGGTTTGGTCACATAAAACGGCGGTCTTCCAATGACCCGGTTAGGAGAGTAGAGGTATTAGATTTGACTTATGTTAAGAAAGGTAGAGGCAGACCTAAAAAGACTTGGTTAGAAAATATTAGGAATGACCTTTCTTTATTAGATTTAAACAAGAATTTGGCCTTTAATAGGACACAATGGAGAAAAAGGATTCATGTAGCCGACCCCACGTGTGGGATAAAGGCTTGATGTTGTTGTTTAAAAAAATAAGTTAGGCTCTACGCTCAAATTAATGCTTGGTGTGGTGATTCTAACAGCATAAGATTTTCATCAGCTATGGTAGTTGAAAGTAGACTTAGAATGTTTAGACAAAAAGAGTAAAAAAATGCATCCAACATAATAGTGAATAAAATTAGTGTCAAATGAACAGGAAGAAAAAGGTAGACCAAAAATAATATGAATACAAGTTATTTAAAAAAATTTGTAATTAATAAATTTAACGCCTCATGAAGCACTAATCATGCAAAATGAGGACTCAAAATCTACCCAAAAAATTAAGGCTGATGATGATAATGATATACCTTGAGATTTATACTTGATTTAGACATTTTTTAATGTTCTCAATTTATATATTCACACATATACAACTAGTTTTAGGCATTAAATCTTTCTATTAGGTGATCCCATGACCTAGAGGGGCCCTATCCTTTGCAAGATTCCCCCTCACCCCCAATCACTATCATGCCCATCTCCCATAATTAGATATTGTAGCTCACAATTGTTCGATAGACCTAAGCAAGGAATATAAAACTTGAAAATGAACTTGACTTCGATTACTGGTGTATAAAACAAAAAATGCAAGCAACTCTCATAGATCATTATACAAAAGAAACGAATCAAGAGTAAGATTAAAATAATTTAGTTGCACTTACCAGAAAAATATCAAAAGATATTGTAAATATATTACTATACAACTGCTACAAACAAAATCATGGGAGCTTGCTGATCTTGTTGATGGAATAGTATGATCTGAAGGAAAAATATTCCTCATTTTTATGTAAAAAGATCCAAAGTCACTGAGAAACTTAGTTCTGATCTCCTTTTGGCGTTTGAGAAACAGGGAGCCAAATAGTGATGAGGAAATAACACTTTTCTGACTCCCTGATATATTGCACTCCTCCATTCATTATCCCGAGGATTCTCCGGCAAATGCTTAGTCCAAGGCCTTCTTTAGTCATCCAGCTTGAGTTATTGAACATATCTTGGACTACGTCTGGTGGTAATCCCTCACCAGGGCAAGCTATCCTGTTCAAAAGCAGAACAGAAAAGGTTAAAATCACACGGGCTTTTTAACTGGAATATTAAATTTATAAGAGAATTCTTTCATTGAAAGAAATTCAATGTACAGCGTAGACAGAGAATGTATTTCATTGCCCTCATTTTCACGAAGTACACAGGCAACCAGACAATGTACTCAAGTAACTTTGTTCTATCAATCACCCTCTAAATTACTGGCATGAAATTCTGAAGATTGAAAAAACAAAAACACAGATTCAGAAACCAACAGTTACTTCTTTTTGCTCCTCTTTTATTGATATGGAAATAATGAAGTGGGAGACATTAGCAACTCAAAGGAGCAAGGAACATAAGAAATAGCATGCTTATGCCCACAAATATCAGTCTTTCTAAACTTCAAACGCATGTAAAGGGGTGGATATAGCTTGCCAGAAACTGAGCTATTTAAGAAGAATTTTAAAATGTAAACTTTACTAGCCAACTCAAAAAGGCTTCTATCGTGTAAGAGAGAATAAAAGAATGGCTGACAACAAGAAAATTCACAAAACTTTAAAGTTTTTTACCCGACAACTTGGGTGCGCTTTAGCATTACGGATGCAAGATTGAATAATATAATGTTTTCTAATACAACTATTATGATGTGTTGTATATAAATCATGCAAGAAAACTCAAGAATTCACAAATTACAACCCACTAAATAATTCAATAGCTTGATTTCTTTAAATTTAAACAACAAATACAAGAACTATAATGCAAATAATAATATAATTATTCAATAAATCTAAAGAAATTAGCAAGAGAGTAACAAATATAATTTTGTTGAGCTAAATTTGGAAAAAAATCAATACCAATATAAGCCAATAACGACTTTTCATACAAAAAAAATTGCCGAATTAAAGTGTCAAAGAACAAATAGGTTTCAAGCCTTTATAAAGAGATACCATTCTTGGAATTTGATATTTGCACCATATTTAAAGGAATCACACATCCAATTTGCACATATGAAATTAAAATTTTGAAAGGAAACTTTTAATCAATTAAAGTTATAAAATCATGTCTCTCAAAAGATCCATTTACGGATCATGCATCTATAATTTAGTAGATATGATAGGCACAATATAAGCTCACTTCAAATTCGAATAATTCAAAATTCAAGTAGAGCAAAGTGACCTTTGATGCTTGCCCAATTTAATTAATGGTCATGCCCGTACACCAACTTGAAACCCGTAAAACCATTGTTTTGCCAAATTGAGAAATTGTATGGATAGCAGCAAGATACTCATACCCATCACGGTAAGGATAACCATAAGAAACAATAAAGCCAGAAACTAGCACAGTTGGCATAAAGGAGTCTCAGAGGAAATAGAATGTCTTCAACTACAATCTCACATAAAATTTCTCTTATACATCACATAAAATTTTGGAACTATCAAATAATTAATTGTTAGTTTCTACGAATATCTTAATGCAAATCGAGCATATGCAATCAAAGGGTTGTGTAAATTCACTACGTCTCTATAACATAAAGTTCAATAAAAGTCTATGGAATTTCAAAGTTGATAATGTCTTCAAATGGACACATACATATAAACCTATTAAGAGATGTTTTAGAGAAAAAGGCCAAAATGGTCACTGGATTATTTACATGGAGTTAGAGGCAGTGTTTTTAAAGCCAAATCAAACCAACTGGTTCGACTGGTTCAACCATGAACCGATCCAGCTGCCAGTTTGGTCAAGTTGGAAAACTAGATTCGCATTGAACTAGTGCGAACCGATTGAAATAGCCCGTTCAACCGATAAATCGTTGAACCAGTTCTAATTTGGCTAAACCGGCTGGTTCAATAAATATTAATTTTTATTTAAATGAAAATTTTAATATTATATTTTGATTTAATTATTTTTTTATTTAAATATATATTTAAAAGCATATGCTTATGCAAATAAATTTAACTATAACAAAAAATGGCTAGCTTGCCACATCATACAACTTTATTTGTTGCTTATGATTTGTACTTTACACTACATAAAAAGAACAACTTAAAATTCTCCTATGATGTGGGACTAAGAACCTGTGAGAATTCTGCATGAGTTAAAGTGTTAAACTATCAAATTGCTTGATTTTAAATTTGGGCTGAAATGCATATAATTTAGTAAAGTTAATAACATAATTTTTTTATATAATAAGATTTATATATTATATTATTATTCTTATTAAAAAATAGATTTATATTTATGCATTTATATTATTAAACTTTTTAATTTTACGACTTATTTATTATGCATATAATTATATTTCTAATATACATATACTTATATTCACATTAATGGCAATCGAGCTTCTTAATAAGCTTTATGTTGAGCCTTAATTGAGCTTGGTCATTAGTTTTAATAAAATAGTTGTGTATTCTTTATTAAAAATATTATTATTCCGTAATTTTTATTATATTTGAATAATTTTAGTATTTATTATGCCAATCGGTTTAACCCCGATTCGACTCTAATTGAACCATCGAACCTGAACATCACATTCTCCCTGTTCGTAGTCTGGTCCAACTTTCACAACCTTGGTTAGGGGTGTCAAAACGAGTCGAGGGTCGGGTTCGAGGCCGACTAGAAATGAACTCGACTCAAATCCAGCTAACCCAAACACGACCTATTTAATAAACGGGGCAAAAACACCAACATAAACTAAATTTTTTAGCAACCCGAATGACTTGAAATTAATCCGTTAACCCATTTTTGTTAAAAAAATTATAATTTATAACTTATTTATTTTAAAATTTATGATATTTGATAAAAAAAATATTGTGATTATACCCACATGTAAAAAAATTAAGAAAAAAATATGTTAAACATGTCATTTTCGGATCAATGGGTCAAACTGAACCCAACCCGTTTATTTAACAGGTCAACCCGAACCTAAATTTTTAGATTGGGTTGGTAGGTAAGGTCAGTTATTGACACCCCTATATGAAGTCATTTTAGTCCCAATTATTCAATTTTGTCCTTGACACCTCAAATTTAATCTAAAATAGTCCCTATGTTGGATTATCTTGGATTTGAATCAAGGACTCAAGGGATTAAATTTAGCACATTAGATAACATATGATAAAGTTCCAAGATAATTGCTATGGAGAGTTCTTGAAAAGAAAGGAGTTAATAATGCTTATATTCAAATCATTAAAGATATGCATGCAGGAGCTATTACTTGTGTTCAGACACAAGGTGTTTTGACCAATTATTTTCCTATTTTGGTTCGATTACCTCAAGGAAGCCCGTATCTTTTCATGAATGTTCTCACTAAACATTTGCAACAGGATGTACCTTGGGGTATGCTTTTTGCTGATGATATTCTTCTTGTTGATAAGACTAGAGAGGGAGTTGAAGGTAAACTTGAATTATGGAGGCCAACCTTAGAGTCTAAAGGTTTTCGCTTGAGTAGATCTAAAACTGAATATATGGAGTGTAATTTTAGTGGTAATAGACATAGTAAGATGATTATAACTTTGGGCGATTAAGTCATTAATAAGAGTACACGTTTTAGATATCTTGGATCTATTTTTCAGAATGATGGTGAAATAGTTGTGGATATTATCAGCAGAATTAAAGTTGGATGGTTGAAGTGGAGGAATGCAATGGGCTTATTGTGTGATAGAAAAGTCCCCCTCAAACTTAAGGGAAAATTCTATAAGATGGTGGTGAGACTTGCAATGCTTTATGGTCCTGAATGTTGGCCATTAAAAGAGAAGCATAATACTTAGTTAAGTGTTGCAAAGATGAGGATGCTCAGATGGATGAGTGGCTTTACCCTTAGAGATAGGATATGAATGAACATATACGTGAAAAGGTTGGAGTAGCTCCAGTGGAAAATAAGATTAGAGAGAGTCGCCTTATATGGTTTGGTCACATAAAACGGCGGCCTTCTGATGACCTGGTTAAGAAAGTAGAGGTATTAAATTTGACTTATGTTAAGAAAGGTAGAGGCAGACCTAAAAAGACTTGGTTAGAAAATATTAGAAATGAACTTACTTTATTAGATTTAAATGAGAATTTGACTTTTAACAGGACACAATGGAGAAAAAGGATTCATGTAACTGACCCCACGTAGTGGGACAAAGGCTTGAAGTTGTTGTTGTAGATAGTTTGATAGAAAAATGTCCCCACCCCCCAAAAAAAAAATTAATAAATAAATAGTCCAAGGATAATTTTAACCTTTTTTTCTTGATGAATTATATATTATAAACACACCATTGGTAAATGGTAATATCAGACTCACCCATATGTGTGCTCTTTAGTTATAAAGCATACCAGAACACTCAAACTTCTATTGATCCTTCAATTTGACAGCCCATATAAGTACTTAAAATTTTAATCGGGTTCCCATTTTTCAAATATTTTTCAAAATATAAATAATTAATTTTATGTCTGCATCAGATATAATAATTTCAAGAAACTCATGCATATGACTTAAAATATAATTTCCATTTGGAACACATCAGCAAAGAATATAGAATAAAAAAAGTCATTTCAAAAGCGATAAAACACTACAAAAATATAATCATGTTTCTTTATCATTCTTAATAATTCTATAACAAAATCCATACTCATATCCTCCAAAAGATTTATATGGAATAGGTAACAGTGTATAAAGCCTAATATTTTATTTCTCGCCTCTAGTTGTTTGACATATTCTACATTATGAAACAAACACACAACGTCCCATTTTAAACTTGGCCAGTAATATCTATCATCATTCATGATCCTAGTTTTATCTTGATCAAAATGCCGTACAATATATCCACCATATAGATCTAAAATAAAGAAGACTCATAGAAATGAATCAAGTTCACTTGAAAATAGATCTTCAAAAATGGGATCTTTAATATGCATAGACCAAGCACTAGTTCAGTCGAGGTACATTTCATCGAAATACTTACCATCTGCAGTATTCCTTAATGTTATTGAAACTCATAATCTTAATTTGCATAGCATCAAAATGATAACCATAA